ATGGCCGTAGGCCTTTGGCTGTATCAAACCAAGGCCAGGCCTTCTGTCAGCCATTTTGATAAAGCAGCATGGTTTCAGAGACGTTCAAGGGACAATTTCACACCCTGCAGTCAAAATTTATATTTAACACATTTATTTTTTGCCATTTCAAACAGGAATAACCGAGAACACAACCATAGAAAAAAAAAAAACCATAAATCAAAACTTTAACTTCCCATGTTCTTTCCAAACAACACCTCAGTAAACCACTTGGACATATCTGACCTCTGGCTAGACAAAGAAGAAAAGCTGAAATAAGGCAGAGGTCAGACAAGCCTCCACTCTCCATCTTCCTGATTTGTTTCTCTAGTACCCCACTCCAAGGTACCATAATGTGTTAGGCTGATTTTAAGATCACAGGCTGGTGGGTGCCAAGTCCTGCTGCTCAATGGTGGTGGACACATCTCCAGGGCTCTGGCAGGTCCCAGGATGGTACGCCAGCAGGAAGGTGAAGGCAGAGAGAGAGAGGGGAAATTGCCAGGACCCTCGGTGGCAGTTACATAATCTCTTGTCACCTTGAGTGAAGGGGTGGAGTCTAGCCTAGCAGTCAGGTTATAGCCAATAAGGCCTCTGTGTGGGCATGGCCTTCTCCTGAGGATTCTGGGAGCTCCTGTGTTCCTCCCTGGAGGTGAGACATGCACTCTCTCCTTGTGAGACAGTCTTGTTGACAAGCCATATGGAGCTACGCTGATGGAGCCAGAGCCCTGGAGCTGGAGGAGCCACGTGGAGACCCAGACCAGTGTTGAGATCTTTCCCCCACGGCTGGATCCACAAGACTTTCTACCCACTGACTTGTGATCTTCCTGCATTTGGTGTCATTGTGTGTGTTGTGTGAGTCTGAAGAGGAATTTAGATACTGGTATTGGACCTATGGGCTAATATCGGACTTATGGACTTGATCTGGACTGGGCTGGGATGTTCTCTTAATATATAATTACTCTTTTATATAAAGCTCTTTCTTATATCCATACGAGTCTCCCTGGATTTGTTTCTCTAGCCTACCCAAACTAACACACTCTCCTATGAGAAGGCCACACGCACAAGGAGTCACCATCAGCCTGTGACCTGTGTATAGATGCCACTCCTATACTTTTATATTTTCATGTTGACATGAAAATATGTAATTACCACAGTTATTACGGTATTATGTTATATATTTATTGGTGGATTATATGTTTGCTTTTTCTGTCATGATTTTTCCTTTTGTTTTGTTTGAGCAGGGTAGATATACTTCACCAATTATTGGTTTGTGGCATGGGAGCACTGTTACCGGATGGGTAGGGTTGTGCTGAGGGGTAAATTTTGCTAGGTATGCATCATTGGTGGGCAGGCCAGTGCCAGGGGATGAGCAGGTGCTGTTGCTGATTTTTGCTTCAGTGGCATAGGAGTGTGTTCAACCACCTACCAGGGTTTGGGGCAGAGGGCATTGCAATACACAAACAAGTGGGAGGGGTGTTGAGTAGGGGTAAGGGGACTCTTATCACAGTTCCCAGGTGTTTTTATGCCATTGGTTACAGGGAATAAGGGGGCAGGGGGCATATTCCTCTGGACCAGGTGTAGGGGCTGGGGTCTTACCTGTAGAATACAGCCAGCAAAAGGATGTGATATCAACCAAAATGAGGATAAGTGATGGTTCCCTGAAATCTGGTTAGACGAAGGACCTCCTGTTGGCACCCCATTACTCTATTATTCCATATGTGCCACTCATCCTCATTGTCAGGGATTGCCACGGGTTAGTGGACCTTTCTCTGTTTCCAGACTCCTTTCCAGCTGTTTTCACCAGGATCCTTAGAGCTCTCATACACCTTCCCGTGCTTTCCCTGCTTAGATCTGGTGCATGTCCTGCTTAACTTGCTTCACCCTGGGGTTGTCTACACATTTTCTCCTATTGGGAATTCTGTGAAGTTGCCTTTCTGTACTCCTTACCCAAGTATTTCTGTGCTTGCTTTGTCTCAAGATTGCAACACTGCGCTGGGCTGACTGACCTACATCTCTCCAGTTCACAATTCATTTGTTCATTTTCTCTTTCGAGTCAATGCTTGATTTAATTCTTGATCTTTTTTTTTGATGCTTAAGGTCTTAGGACAGTCATTTGTATTTGTTTCCATTGATTTCTTGAATCTTTGATGTAGAAGTATGGCATAGCTGACTGCCCTAGTTCCCTTGTGCTGCTACAATAAGTGATGAGGAGGATTATGAGAGGGTAGCATGGAAATCCACTACAGTACCCAGGAAAGATCTTTCCGCAGTAATGGGGGTCTAAGAGAAAGTGATGGTCAAGCTAAGATCAAAATTATGGGATAATAGCTGGAAAAGTTCTGCAGTATTAAAAAGCCTGTAATAGTAAGCTTACTTACTGCACCTTTATTAATGTATTCAGACTGATTTATTCCCCTTTCCAGCAGTGTTTACCTGACTCACTCTTCATGATAATACCTGAATAGAGAAAGAGACTTTAATAGATTTTTAAAATTAGTTTTTTTTTTTACCTCAGTAGGGCTCTTTCAGCCAGTTGTTCAATATTCCAACATGTTTGGAGTTAGGAACACATAATTCTCTTTTGATAGATATTTTGGTTTAGTATATGAAGTCAAAGACAATATTCTACAAAAACTATTATAATTTTTCAATTCAGAGTAACAGCAAGAAAAGATCATCTTTTTGTGGGAATTCATTTACTCTCTACATCTTGGAGGTCAGTTTATGTTTTCACAGTCTCCTAGCAGCAATTCTAACTTGCAGAGAAGCATGCAAAAATCAACTGTTTACTCGTCTCAAAACATTACCATGTTGACTAAAAATTTCCCGAAAAAAGACAAAAACAAAAAACAACTAATAGAAGTCCCCAAGTGGTACAAATGTGAACCAAAATGTTGGTGATGTAAATCCACCTGGAGTCAACTCAGAGAGAAGGCCTGGAACTATGCTTCCCAAGGTTACAACATGACAGAGCAACTCCACTCTTCACGCAGGGGTTAGCCTACACCTGATAGCATTTAGGTGGTTGGAGTTGGATAGCCATACAATTCAATTATGTAAGCATTAGAAGGAATAAAAATACTGAGACTAATCAAGTGCTTACTAAATGTCGAGCACCGCCTTCGTTGGTCTTCATAAAAATGGAGGTATTATTACTATCATCCTTCTTACAAACGACGAAAATGCATCATCAAGAGGTTGAGTGATTTGTTCCAGGTAGCAGGACACTGAACCTGGCAGACTGGTTCCAGAGTCCATACTGAAGGTCACTGAGTTATAGTTCCTCCTGGTCACCCAATGTAGAAAGCATAAATAATATGATCCCATGTGTGAAAAGGATACACATGTATAACATCTTCTTTATTTATATACTTCCATTGATCCCTTGTACAATATCTATATGCTACGTTTCTGGAGTGATTTTACTTCGGTTCTTGCTTCGCAATGCAGAAAGAATTCACGAGTCAGAAGCACTTTTGTAATCCAAGTGATTTTTATGAGGGAAAGGAAAGTTTTAGGTATGACAGTCTCCAAAAGTACACACTATTTCCGGAAAGTGTACGAGGCTACATGGGAACCACGCGGGACTTCGTGACAATGTGAAAAACCACATGAAAAGAATACTGGAAGAGGAACTTGAAATCATACAGCGGGACCAGAAAATCCTCAGAGGCCTAGAGAGCCTGCGGGCGTGTGAGCCCTGCGGGGTTGAGTTTAGGCACACCTGTGTGATGTTAGGTATCTAGGTTGTGGCCAGGTTTAGCTTCACCTGGGCCTGCGTGGCCCTAGTCTGAGCATGCTCAGTTTCGACTTTTCTATAGGCGTCTAATGAGTGCCTGATGTCCCTGCAGCTCCTTTATTGTGGCCCTAGGCAGGCAATTGAGGAGACAACTTCCCCTTTGTCCCTTTTCTGTCTACCTAGCATATAGGTATTTTCTCCGACATAAAATATCGATCACATGCAATTTCAGTATAAATGTACAAGGGATAAGAGGAGTCTTTATGGAAATTACGAAACCCAACCCCCCTCCCCCCCTGCTGTTAAGTTGATTCCCACTCAGTGATCCCAGAGGACAGAGACAAACTGCTCTCTGGGGTTTCGAAAGTGTAAACCCTGATCAGAGCAGACTGTCTTGTCTTTCCTCTGTGGAGTGGCCTGTGGGGTTGAACTGTAGGCCTTGTGGTTAGCAGCCCAATGCTCAGTCCACTGTGCCACCAGCGCTATTGAAAACATTTTTTTTCTTGATAGCCACTGATAAATTTGAAAATAATGGTTTCATAATCAAACATGTTTCAATTATAAAGAATTTAAATCATCATGAATGTGGTAATTCTCTAGCAATTATGTGACAAGGATGGGGAGGAAGAACTTTCATTTTATGCCCTCTGAACTGTGAACTTTATACAACATATCACACATTTGTAAGAAAACATATCTTAATTGTAAAACTTTGATAATAATGGGCAAGTTATTTCTCTAATAATTATGTACTGTAAAACATTATTTCTATGACTAATAATAGGCTATAGTTTATTACTTGGTTAACTTAGCATAAATCTGTGTTTGCTAATCTGCCTTATCTTCAAAACTATTTTCTAATATCAATTGAACTGGAAAGTAAATCAATGAAGATTTACCTTATTTTTATAAATAGGATTGTTTCCTATTGAAGTCTTAATAATGAAACCTCTCACAACAAATGAGTTGGCCAGGGCAGAAGCTGACAGCAAATTTACTACATGTTGGTAGTCAATTGGTCACAATTTTCATACAGGAAGATACTATCACCCTGGCATTTATAAAAGAAAATGTCAATTTGAAATCGCATTGTTTGTTAAGGGACAATATTCTCATGCTAACTAACAGTATTTTAATATTTTGTTTATTCACTAAATGTGCTTAGAGTTAGATTGGTTGATAAATGTCGACATAGGCATAGTTGAAACTTAACAATACAACTTACTTGGGAATTGTTTTCCAGGTGAAGCTCTGAAAATATCAGCTGAAAGATTTACAGATGACCCCTGTTACCTCCCCAAAAGGGAAGCTGTGGTTCAAGCTGCCCGTGCCTTGTTGGCTGCAGTCACTAGACTCCTTATCCTCGCAGACATGAGTGACGTCATGCGTCTCCTGCAGCACGTGTCAGCAGTAAGTAAAAGAGCACTTCCTTTACCTTGGCATTGTTTTCATTTCTAATTTCGGTTTGGCATCAATTCTAGTGCATCTGGGTCTCATCCTTATTACTTGACATCACCCATCAGAAGCTGACTGGATCAGATTGTGAAAATTCAGAGAACTATGTCTGAAGTTAATACTAAAGTCAGTGGGAAATTGGAAAACAAGGTGGCCTACTGATAAAAAATGGCTACGAGAAAGTTTTAGGCTTTTGCCTATTTAAATTTTTATGTCCTATGTGTTTATAATTTATTAGACTATGTATATAAATTTTTTAAATCATATTTCTTCAAAATTTCTTATATTTCTGCTACAAATTAGAAATCATTTGAAAAAGCAAATCTTTAAAACTTAAGATCTTTAAGTCTTAGGAAGCTATCCTGGTTTGTAAAGGAATATTATTTTGATATCTCTTCTTGTTCCTAGATAAAGTGTTTGTAATTGGTCTGTGATATTAGACTGTGATAATCTATTGAAAACATGTATAAGTGGATATAATATGTGTAAAGATTTGGCTGCTCCTCACTTATTGACATGATTAGATTTTCCAAAGCAGGTCATTATTTAAAAAAATCATTATTATGCAAAAATGGAGGTTCAGCACATCAGATTACAAAATGGAAATACATCCATACATAACTGCCAAGCCCTAAGAATCATAATTCTGTCAAGTTGACACATAACCTCAACCATCAAAGCCAGTGCTGCTCTCACTCTGTACCTTGGTGTTTGTGTGAGTCTGTGTACTTTAGAGAAACAAATCCACAGAAACTCATGTGTAAGAGAGAGTTTTATATAAAGGTTAAGTGTGCATCCAGAAAACATCCCAACCCAGTGCTGCCCATGCCCACAAGTCCAACATTAACCCATATGTCTGACACCAATCCACAGTCTTCCTCCATCTTACAAAACACACACTGTGATGCTGACTACAGGAGGAAAGCCAAATCAGTGAACGTGTAAGCATCTCAGTGCTGGCCAGGGCTGCATCAGGGTAGGTCCGTGTGGCTTTTCCTCAGGGATGTCTTGCAGGAAGTGAACCTTGCCAGCTGAAGCAGGGAACTGGCTAAGGCAGGTGCACCCTGGTCTGACCATCAGAAAGCAAGAGACCTGAGAGCTAGAAAAGCGAGGCTCATGGAGCCATTTATCTCTCTGCCCTTCAGTTAACCCCACATGTGTTTATCGGCCAGGTTGGTGCAATAAACTAACTCAGTGTTCATTACTACTAGCTGTACAAAATCAGTGAACAAAATATTCAGATTTTGTTCAGCTAGTAGTAATGTAGATTTCTTTTTACTGTTGTCTTAAATGACAAGTGTTGGATGACAAGATAGTCGATAATTTAGGAATAGGTGTATATTTAAACTAAGCCATAATCCAGGCAGTAAAATTTCCTGCTAGCTTTGTTTTTTAAACAAATCCATTTAGAACACATTTAGTAAAAGGAGAATGTTATTAACGCGTTTTTCATTTTCTCAACGTATTTAGTTTGGCTGAGCCATGACGTCTGCACCGAACATCTCATTGTATCTGCTTTATCTCCCACTTTAAATAGGACCCCTGCGTTTCGGTCCGTGAATACATCCATGTTTTCAGAAAGATTCTTAGTGGTTGTAACATTACTGCTCCATTAAGCAAATAACCTTGTCAAAATAGTTTTCTCTAATTGCTGAACTAAACCTATCTTCCCGTCGTTAGCTTATTCACCACTGCTTATTTGAACACTGAAGGAGAACGATTCCCTTTGTACTTTTTATACTCCTCCTCTTTTGATAGGTTTATTACTGTCAAGAAAACTTTCTTAACACATTTCTCCCTTTGTTTTTTGTTCATAGTAGCTTTGTAGGGAAAGCTTTACTTCTTACCAACAGCATCTACCTCGTATTGGGTTTGCAGATAAGCTAACTGAATGATAGTTCTTGCTGGCACTTGGTTATTTCTTTGTCCTATAACCTTAGTCATATTCATAAACACTTCAGAGACACGTTTCCCCCCTCATATGTGCACACAGATACTAATAAATGCTGCAAACAAGTAATGGCTATGAAAGATTCACTGCTGAGTAATTCCTAGTTCTATGTTCAGATTTGTTGAAGTAAAACATTATGACAATGGCTTTGTAAGGTGAAAACTACTACCTTCATAATCAAATAAGAGGCATTTAAAAAAATGCACAACCATCTTCATACCAATTCAGTAACGCGCTCATGGCAGTTCACACTGTTTTGAACCAGCACAGGGGAGGGTCACATATCTGACTTCTCTGGCTATTGCCATGAGGCAGGGCTCAGACATGCCTCCACCTCCCATCCTTCTTTACCATATTCTGACTTGAAGCATTACTCTCCTGGTATTCCGTTGCCCTTCTGGGTAATTTGTTCCAATGATCACACAAAACTCACATTCAATACTCACAATTAAGGGGGTATGTTAGGGGAGTTAACAGGCTACCACAAGTTAGGATCAGTAAACAGTATATAGTCATTGGTCCACAGCAATACCTCTTCTTAGTCAGCCGCCAACTGTTTCTCTTGTTGGTCCTCGGCCTCTCAGTGAAATGGGCTTTGCCTCTGCTTTTGTGGATCACGAAGCCTGCCTGTTGCTCTGCCTTACAGTCCCATAATTTTGATGCTATTCCTCTGTACTGTCTCATGGTTTCCTTGCCTTAGCTGCTGGTCTCGACCTTTGCGCTGCTCCATAGCCTCTGTGCCACAGTCTCTGGTGTGTTGGCTTTTGACTCTTGAGACAGAGATCTTGAATGTATTCTTATTCTGATGGTCCTGGTTTTTCACTTTCTGCTCCTGCTTCAAAGATGGCTTCTCCTTATAGCCAAGGTGGGGAGTGGGTATGGGTGGTGGTGGTGGTGGTGGAGTAAGGGCACGGTAACTAAAACTGACCAGTCTGCTTTATTAGTGTCACACAATTTATCGAGTCCCATCCAATCATTTCATGGGAGTTACAGAGACATAGGTCGAAGAGCCACATTAAGATATTTCACACCCTCCTTGCCATTGATTTTGGATCACTTG